TTAGTATATGCATATAAATATAAAGTATAATATTGAAGTATCTATACATTGGTGTCACAGATAATACATAGGTCTATATCTACCAAATCCATTTGGTTCAATGCAATAATAATAGTTAAATGTTTGTCTTTCTTGGACTTTCTTTGAGGCGAACTGTGCGCTATATAGTTTCCATATTATTATTTCCTTCTCGCTTTAATCACTATCAACGATTTTTTTTAAATAGTTTTATTTAATCATGGAAAACCCTGATCACATAACAAAACTACTTTCCACAGGGGCCCTTAACCATCAATACATAAATACAATACATAAGAAAATTGTTCAAACAATAGAGAAACGCACATGTATACCAGTATACAATTGATTTATAACGGTTAAATATTGTACCACCAAAATATATATTATATGCAACTGCAGGAAATAGAAAGGGAAATAATCATGTACAATTTGATTTAAAATGAGAAGTATACTAGGAATATTTATAGTTTATAACAATTACTAATAAAAAAAAATTGCTGAAGAATATGAATATAATATAACTGTCCTAAAAATCTTTTGAATTTTCAAAGAAAGTTATCAAAACATAGAGGTAAATTTTATCCCGTTTTTCCCATTATAGTTTAACAAAAATGAAAGTATTGTCCTAACAATAAAATTATGATGTACAAGATTTGAAACATATATTCGAACATAAACATTTTCACTTACTGAAGGCAATTTCGACAGACACTTCTGCCGTCTTCAGACTTCAGCTAACTGTTAACTGTTAGCAATTACTATGTTGGAATAAAAGTTAAAAATTGACTACATCGTACACCAACATAGATGAATTATAATCAATAATGATCTTTCAGAAATATAAATGCTCATTGATACCAACAACCTACAGGAAACCAGAAATGCGTTTGCTGTAATAAAAGTAAAAGGATAAAAATTATGTGCATTTCTGTATAGAGAAATACCCATATTTTTGTGTGTATTTCTCTATACAGAAATACCCATATTATTTTGTTTGAATATGGGTATTTCTGTACAGACAAATTATTGAAATGCTGAATCGAAATAAAGCATTTGTCATGTTTTGGTTGATAGATACATGTTGCTTCTTTATGTTCTTTAGGCTCCCTTCATTAATCGTATGATAAAAGTTAAATCAACCTAAACATCATATCAAAGTGATTTTAAAGACAATTTAAATCATATGCCTATGAGACGAAAATACATATGAACATAATGTGGAAATACGGTAGCTATTGCTGTAGCTCTATAAAACCAATGTAGCTTGCCGAAGACTTATAAAATGGCTCAAACCAACATACATTTTCATTATATTTATAATCATCCGCACCAAATATGGTAATCAATATAATAATCAGATTATTTTTGATATATTTTAAAACTAGCATGTGTTTCATATGCTAACATCGTTTCTCTTTCTTTCATAGATTTTGATATACATCACTGCAAAATCAAATTCTGCTTTAATAACTAAAATAGAACGCCAAGTATTCGAAGATGCGTATGATAATCGACTCATAAGGCATTAAAGAGTTTTTTATGTATCCAGTTATACTTAGTACAGCACAATTGTACAATCGTTAATCTGATGTTTTTAATTGTCTTGGGGATTGTGAGTGGTATATAAAAAACGGTTGGCGTTCAACAGAACACATCGCTGAACTCGTTCACTAAAACCAGACTTCTTCACAACTTCAAGATAGTGAACGACGTGGAAGATGAAGGTGGTACTGGTACTTGTTGTTGTGTGCATTGCAATTGGGTGGTGAGACTTTTCATTTATTTTTATATCACTGAAAAGTATTGGAATCTAAATTCACCATTCTATAACACAATGTTGACGAAAAAGTATAAACAAAGAACGAGACAATGATTTCTTTGTCTTCATACCATTCATGTTCTTTTTAGTAGTAGAAAAAAGTCTATCAATTTTCATATTTTTCACTTATGAGTTTACAACTTCTTTTATCATTTAAAACGATAATTGTATTCTTTAATAATTAAATTTTTAATATTGTTGACGTTTTTCAAAGATAAATATTCAACTATATAAGAAATCAAAGTCCAATTCGGCTTCGTTTATTCGAATAGATGTATTCTAACTTCTATTCTAGTAAACAAAGTCGAATTAAACTTTAATTTCTTACATAATTTCGGTGTGTTCCTCAGATTATTTAATTGTTTGGTATTTAGTTGAGCCTTTGTTTACTTTGTCGGGCTTTTTACATATTTGTATGATTATGTAAGCCCACTTTATCTTTTAATTTCCAACAAACCTTCGACAGGCTGTTCTGTGAAAAGGACCTTCTTTCTTCACTTTGTAAGCGTACGGTATTCAAGAAGATTAAATGTAATTTAATTAGATATAATTCCCATTGTCAAATTAGTATTTCAACTAAAATAGTAGTGTACCGAAAGTAACATTGTTATATTATGACTTGTTAATACTTACTCATGAATAATGAAGAATACAGGAATTTATATGGTACAGTCGTTATAAAATTTGAAAAAAATTGTAATGCGAAGACTTTAAATTGAATATATACACCAGTATTTCAGATTTGTACGCATTGGTAGACGTAATAAGTATGCAGTACAGTTACATCGGAAATCATAATCATAAATATAACCAAATATATATACATATATATATATATGTTTTTTTATATTTATATATATATGCCTATATATATATGCCTATATATATATGCC